CCACTGCACAGGGTTTAAATCACCTATTTTAATGAAATGTAACCACTTTTTTTTTTTAAAGTAACTTAGTGGCAGAGTGATGTTCATTTATGTTTTTGAAATCTAATACCTTGCTTAAAAGCATAGCTGGATTCTGACATCTCCTTCAGTCTTTAATCTGCCACCATCAGTTATTTTGTTTGAAGAAAATCTAATCTTACATAGAGATATACAGTCATACCTCATACTCATCTTTAATTCATCCAGGAACTCATTCTGACCCCAAACTGACAAGTATCAAGTGAGTTTTTCCTATAAGAAATAACACAATTAGAAATATTTCAAGAACGTTCCCCAGAATTTCATATTATATTGGGTTAATATTAATCTTTTGCTGAGCTAATATAAGCCTTTTAGACTTAATAGTATAACTCTTAACATTTTTGTGACCCATGATTAGCATTTAAAATGCAGAAAAATACAAGAGAGTAACCATGATTAAGTGGGGATTCTGCCCTCTTCAGGACAGATCATGAAAGTATCACGAGTGCCTAAAATGAAACATTTTTCATTTCATAATAAGAAAAATGAAATATTTTTCTTATTAAAATGTGATGAGAGTGCCTGCCTGGCAACTGCGAAGCCCTGAATTTTATTCTTTGTACTAAAAGAAAAGAAAGAAAGAGAGAGAGAAAGAAAGAGAAAGTAAAGATGGCAGATAGATAACAACTGGCTATAGAAACTGAGACAGTCAACTTAGAATTCAACATAACACAGAGTGGGGAGTCCCAAACAGAGGGAGATGAGTTCTCTCATCCCAAGAAGAAATTAAGGTGACTTGCCAACCATTCGAGGTCCCTCCATGACTGGCCGACACTGTGACTTGCCGGGATCCCGCTGCAACTTGCCAAGAGGTCCCACCGTGACTTGGTGAGGCCCCACCGCGACTGGCCAGGGTCCTGCCGCAACTTGCCGAACCATCCAAGGTCCTACCACTTGGACTCATTGGAGGTGCAGTTACATTGAGTTCAGGGGTCAGCAAGCCGAATGGAGGGCTGCATTGGCAGGGAGCCTATATCGACCTGTGGTGAGTGACAGGAGTGGAACCATTCCATAAATAGGGGGGCCTGGTGGATGACATTCTGGGATCCAGCAGAACTGGCAAGTACAAGGGGCAGCAGTGACTTCAGTCAATTGTTCCCTTCCTGAATGGGATTAGTGGAGTGAGCTAGACCTGGGTCACGTGACCTGGCTGAGACCCAGTAGGTTTTCCAAGTTCAAGTCACTGCAGTGGTGGTGCACACTAACCACACTGGCCAGTAGGGCCTCGGAGGTTTGGCTGGTCTGGAGGGAGGTAGCGCAAAGTAATACAGTAGTGTAGGCCACAGCAGCTTGACCAGTCTGGAGGGGAGGGGCCAGCATACGCTGTCCCTGTCTGCAATTCACTAACACACTGCAGTGTGAAGGGTCATCTAGCCAGCGCTCTTCAGAAGAATTGTAACCAACAAAGAAAGAAACTGGGGTCTCCTGGAAGAAGCAAAAAAGATGGGAAGAGGAAACAACAACAAAAAGTCCCTAGGCCCCAACACTGAGAACATTGACCCAGGACAGGTAAATACAAAGGAGAATGAGAATAGCAAACACGCAATATCAGACACAGTGCCAGTGGACATAAAGAGATATATTCGGGACCTCATAGATGAGTTCAAAAGTGAGATATTTAGCCAAATAAAGCAAGATATAAGAAGATTAATAAAAGAGGTACTAAGCACCCCTCAGGCAGACACAGATGGAAGAAGGGAGGAACTCAGACACAGGAGAGAACCATTTGGTGAAGAATATTTAAAAAATATAGAATACATGAAGCAGATTCAAAGAGATCACCAGGAAATTAAAATCTCTATGGAAAGATGGCAAATCAGCTTGAAAGAAAATAAGGATAGATTATCAAAACTGGAGGAAAATTTTGCAATGTGGGAGTATGAAATGGAAAACTTTTTAAAAATAACAAGGAAACAAGCAGTAACAATATAAAGGCTAGAAGATGACAAGAGGATCTACAACTTGAGAATAAAGAATGTAAATGAAGAAGCTGGGATACAAACAAAGGAACTACAAAGGTTATTCACAGAAATAATTAAGGAAAACTTCCCAAACATAGGAAAAGGAAATGATATTCTGTTATATGAGGCATACAGAACTCTGGCCACCTACAATCAAAACAGAGCTACACCTAGGCATATAATAATCAAGATCCCAGAAATTCAATATAAGAACAGAACATTAAAAGCTGATATAGACAAGAAACAGATAACCTACAGAGAAAGGCCCATCAGAATAACAGCAGACTTCTTGACACAAGCCATCAAGTCAAGAAGAGCCTGGAGTAAAATATTCCAAGCCCTTAAAGAAAATAACCTCCAGCCCAGATTGATATACCCTGCTAAACTGTCTCTAGACATTAATAGAGAAACCAGATGCTTCCAAGGCTAAGAGGAACTTGGGAAATTTGCAACCACCAATCCAAGTCTACAGAGAATACTTCAGGGCATTCTAGAGAGAGAGAAAAGTACTAGGATTCCAGAAACAGTGGCAGAGAGGCCTCAATGAATGGTTCAGAAAACAGAATGAAGAAGATAAGCAGACAACTGATGGAAAAAAAAAGAGCATAACAGAAATGAGGCAGAGAAGATTTTATTCAAAACTAATATGATTGATAGTATCAAGTCTAAGAGTATAGGCAACTATACTGAAGATGACAAGACTCTATAATACACATTCTGGTTTGATAACTGCCGGTTTTTGAAGTTCTATACTATATACAAAGTTGTGTTTTTATTAATATTGTTATGTACTGACATATTCAATTATACTATGTCTGATGATATAGCCAATTCTATTGGAGATAAGAAACAACACAGGAACATGGTAGAACAATTCGTACTTATATGCTTGTTTCATTTCATGTGTTTATAGGAATGTTTTGTCTTGCTTTGTTTTGTTTCTCTCTCTAATACAGAAAAGATTGAAATACATGTTAAGACTCATGCATGTGTAGAATCTATAAACAGTTTATAAGAACTGATCATATGATACATGATGAAATGAATAGATACTCTGAAGAAAAAGAGACACTAAAATACCCAGTGCTGATCCTGGAGTGTCATAATGTGAAACCCAGCAATAGCATTATTCTTTGTTCAGAGTGATCTTAGCCTGCTGGGTTTATTCAATCTCAACATAATTGAAGAGATGGATAACTGCATATATGTTTAAGTGTATAGGATTGACAACCATGTTACTAAGTTTTTGTTGGATAGTTGAACAGAACTCTTTCCGGTCTCACTGTTTGAATCCCCACTTTATAAGCTCCACTTTAGTATCTTGAATAACTATTTGTAAGAAGACAATCTGTAATCGTCAACTAGTGATTTCTTACTGTTCATTTTTTTCTCTGAACGTATATATTATTTCTACCTATTTTATGTTTTGTTTAGTCTTTCTTTAAATAAAATTTTAAAAAATTAAAAAAGAAAGAAAGAAAGAAAGAAAGAAGAAAGAAAGAAAGAAAATACCATGTATGTGATAGGTACCAGGTTTTACAGGTTCTGCAGCTGATGTTTATGAGGCCTGATTACAGCTAGAAGGAGTAGAAGTATTTTAACAACCTTTTAGGTATCCGTGGGTATTCTTTGATGTACACCAAAACTTGACAAATGGCAGTTACTTTCAATGTCTGTTGCAATGTGGAATCTTCGATGGGTACATATTGGTGACTGTTTCCTCCTTTTCCACAGTAAAATATACTGGTCTCTCTCATATTGTGAATAAACTACTTACCTGTTCATGATTTCTGTAACATTCAATACTGATCATTTGGAAAATACTGGTTCATCTGCATACCTAGGTTATCCAGAACTTCCAACCACTGACACAGTCTTTCTGAACTTCAAAAATTCACATTTGTTAATATCACCAACAATCTCACCAGGAAATCTTTAAAGCATTTAAATGCTAGTTTCATAATGGCATATGCAAGTTCTCTAACAGTCTAATGTTGCTTAAAAACTCAAATTTTATCACTGGCAACCAATATTGTTAATTGTTTTTCTCAAGGTGTCAAATTCACTTTATTAATTTTGAGAAAACACTGCCAAATACTCCAAGTTGAAAAAATGGTAGTTTGTGAATCATTCTTTCAGGTAAAAATAGAGTTCAGTATTGGATTCACAATACAATTAAATTCACACAACTATTTCTTTGAGATGACAGAACTTCAGTTATTTTTATCAAAGCCATTTCCAAGTAAACGTGGACTCTTCCCCTTCAAACACACAGTGGTAATGTATACAACGACAGCTGTGGTTGGTGCCAACGCCTTGATTTGCACTCAGGTGGAAGCCATTTTATCTACCAGCACTTTTCACTTGGTCAAGTATCAACCAGTGCAAAAGGAGAGAAAATACCCAGCTCAGTATTGCAATCAGATGCCTCCTCCTCCAAACTTTGCCATTCTGGAATAAGTGGCAGAATAAAATGTATTAAATAAGTGTCACATCTGGTTTTGGTCTTTCTATCAATTACATATTCATGTAGAATTCCCAGGAATCAGAAAGGCTCAGGATCCTCCTGACCATTCTCTGTTTATTTTGTTAGATTCACTTCCATGTGGGTATCTTCTTAGACCTGAGAAAAGGCCCCTTCTTCAAAAAGGAATCATTTAAAGGAGACCTGCCCAGAAACCAAGTTGGCTTGAAGATTTAGAGTTTGCAGCACCATAAAAAAAAAAACAAAAAAAAACCCCAAAAAACCAAAACTAAATAGTAACTCACTGAATTTGGAGAAAAATGAGCTCGTTAACTCAAGGGACATCAACTTGGAAATCTGAAGTGTCACCATGCATTTCCAAATGGTCTGGTCCACATTTCATCTGCAGGGCAGTCACACTGCCATTGGTGACCACCACCCTGCCCTGCCCTCTTGGTTTATAGATGTGTTTTTTGCAGGTCTGCACATAGGTTATGAAGTTGTTGATCATTACAGTTTAGATTTCAAAAGTGGGGGGCTTTTAGAAGTTGATGGATCATGAGGGCTCTAATTTCACCAGAATATTAATCTATGGGTGATGTTATAATTTGATGGCACGGCTGGGATGTGATAGAAATGTAGGAGATGGAACCTAGCTGAAAAGAGTGGGTCATGGTGCCATGGCCCTGGGTATATATTTAGTCTCTGGCTCCTCTCTGCCTCCCTGATGGCATTTTGTGGGCAGCTTCCCTCTGCCACAATGTTTTTTCTCCCTGCAGGCTTAAACCAATGGGGCCAACAGACTATGGTCTGAAATCTCGGAAACTGTGAGCTAAAATCTTTCCTCCTCATTCATTATTCATTTCGGATATTTGACCTGTTGATCGTGACTATTGTGGAACCTTTTCTTAAATCACAATTAACTGTTTTATGAAAGCTCCATCTCATTTTTTCAAGAATATTGTTGTAGTCAGGGGTTGTGCAGAGAACAATTAGAATCAAGACTTGGAGTTTATAATATTATTTTTTAATGGTCACCAGGAGTTAACACAGGAAAATGCAGGAAAATGTATCCACAACCCCAAAGACAGATTATTTAGTCAAGAGCCTAAACCCCACAGCAGTGTCCCACATGAGTCCAGATAAAAACCCAAAGCTCAGGACAATGCGTCCCACGAGTCCAACTGGAGATCCAGAGCACACAAGAAGGACTTATGCCAGTCTCTTTTACAGATCTGTGCTGGGAAGACCCAAAGGTCAGCGATGGAAGCCAGAAAGTCTATGCCAGCAGGATGAAGGAGTTGTGCTAGTGGGATGAGGGTTCTACGCTGGAGCCGAGAAGTCACACTCACAACAAAGAACAGGGCTGTCCTGAAAGGCACCGTAGCCATCCTCAGCAACACGGAGGCCTCAAGCTCCTCCGACAACAAGCACAGTCAGGTACATGCCAGGAAGCAGGGTGATGAGTTCATCCTGGAGACCAAGCAGCACAGGTGTTCCCCTCTAGAGCCAGGAAGCAATGCTTGATGTGAGGACCAGAGTTTCTCCAGGAGAACCAATGGCTCAAACAGCAACACATAGGAGAACCCACAATGCTACAACCCACAATCCTCAACCCTCAACCCTCCCTTCTTCTCCACCTATTTATCCTGGCAACTTTCCTCAGGTAGAGCATCTTCACTCGATGCCATGCCGATGTAATCCAGCTGGCATTAAGTTGACCACCAGTTCTTAATCCATAACAAATGTAATCATATGTATGTCTATGTGTGTGCACAGATGATCATCAAGCGCTTTCTCTGCGACTGCTGGACACGTGCTCCTAGTGCAGAAGCGAGCTAGGCGGCAGATGCCAAACTGCCTGCTGTGAAGTTTGTCTCCGCAGAGGTCCCAGTGGGCAGGCCAACCAAGCCCCTGCAGCTCGAGACTCCTCTCCAGTGCTCCTAAAAACTTGCTTGTGTCTTGGACTCCAAAATAGCTGGGTCCTAGGGGTTTAGTTTCAGACTGAAGAAATTCATGCTTTCTTTGTTTCTATTTTTAAATACAGGAAAAACAAATAAGAAAGAAGGGATAACTTTACTAACTCTTCCAAGAGACTTCTTTTTTAAAGCCTAGGCTGTGAGCCAGTGGTCTCTCCATCTCAGTGCAAGGTGACCATTTATATTTGTCACAGCAACATTCCAGCTCACTCTCTACCAAGGACTGTGGCATCCAGTGTAACTTTTGTATCCATTGAACTAAATTACCCTACGCAAAATGAGCTCTGGCTTATGTATTTTTTTTCTGTGTTTTCCTTCTTAGGTAAATAATCTTTTCATTTGCTTTTGCTTGTTTATTTTGGTTTTGTATCTCACTGCTGTTCAGATACTCATTTATAGAATGTAGTATTGTCTGCTTCCAATTTGCAGATTTTATTTTTCTGTAAACCTGAAGACTCCTGGCCAACATTCCCTGCCTCAGGCCTTCTTCCAACATAGTAATTGTCTTTGTCAGCCTAGGCACTGTGCTCAGTGCTAGAAATACGGAGGTGAAGAAGTGGGGAGGGTGCTACAGAGCCCCCGAGGAGGAGCAAATCGGAGTGAACCAGTGGTGTCCTGGTGGAGGAAAGGATGTATTTACAGAGCTCAGAAGACAGTCCTGCAAGGGGAAGAGGGACATAGTGGCTCTCCTCATGGGATGCAGGAACCTCTCTTGAGAAAAACTTGTTTAGGAGCCAACAAGAAGCAGAATCTTACTTGAGAACCTTGTCCTATAGCAGAATCCCCTGGCCCAGCTACTGTTTTGTGCACCAGTCTCAGTTCTGAAGTGACTGATTCCAAAGGTTAAACAAACCATCAGCAATATAAGAGGACTTCCTTCTGTTGAAGATGCCACCTTGTGTTTCCAAGGCAATGCCTGGACCTATATGTGAGTAGTGGTCATCTGATGAAATATATACAGTCTTCTCTAGTAAGAAGCAATGGTCCCCAACATGCAAGTACATTTCTAAGCTTATTTCTGTTCTGCCAGCACACAGAACTCTATTGGAATAATATTAAGAAAGGAAGCTTATGAGTCTGACCATCTCTGTTTTGTGAGGCTGTATCTTCATGGCAAAACCAACCACCATGCTTTAGTCTGTTTCTGTGGAACATGGAGAATGTACTTATCTCCAGGTAATTTTGGGATGTGGTGAGATAATTGGAAACGATGCTTGAGAAGATGATCCTACAATATGATGCCGTGTACAAAAGGCAGGGGCAAGTGTGTTAACTCAGGAGTTGCTGAGTGGTGAGCTGTAATGGGATTAATGCTTTCTTTGCAATCTCAGTTTGTCTAAAGTTTTTAAAACATCTCCCGAACTCACAAAGCCCTTTTGACACCAAATAGGTAAATTTTCCGTACCAGTTCTATGCAGACACCAGTTAGGTGTCCTACAAATAATTCTGACACTATTTACCTGAAGTTGTACCCAAGTTAAACAGACCATTCCTACAAGGCTGGCCCTAATTTAGACATCATTTATGAGTAGCAACTTTCCAAGACATCCACACTTCTGCCCAGGTTGGCTAGTAACTAACTAACTATAAATAATCCCCCTCCACAGGTTTAATAATTTGCTATAATGGTTCACAAAACTCAGGGAACACTTTAGTCACTGCTACATAGTCAGTGTCACTGAGCCAAATGATACTCAGATAACGATCTTGTGACCAGAAGTGCTCCAGATTCCAAATTCTGTTTTCAGATTTTGGAATACAGTATTCATATATATATATATATATATATATATATATATATATATAATATCTTGGGAATGGGACTCAAGTTTAACAATGAAATTTATTTATGTTTTTGTATCTACTTTATACACATAGCCTGAAGGCAATTTTACACAACACTCTTAATAATTTTGAGTATTAAGCCAAGTATCATGGTGTAGAATTTTTTTACTTGTAGCATCCAGTTGGCACTCAAAACATTTCAGATTTCAGAGCATTTTGGATTTGATTTTTTTTTTTTAGATTAGGGATGCTCAACTTGTAGCAGTTACTATAAAGGATTTAGCTCAGGATCAGCTAAGTGGAAGAGGTGTATAAAGTAGTCTCGGGGTGTACCACCATCCCAGCACTGCAATGTACTCACCAGACTAGAAATTCTTTGAAGCCCATCATTTAGTGTTATGGAGGCTTCACTGCATAGGCCTGACTGATTAAATCATTGGCCAGTGATGACTAAGGCAGTCTCCAGCCCTATGTTTAGGCTGACAGGGACTAGACTCAGTCATACTATTACCATCACTCTGGAGGGTCTTAGAATCCTTTGTGTCAGAAACTGGGGCCTAAGATCAATGTTCCAGTGAAAGGTACATCTACCACCCAATCACTCAGCAAATTGCAAGGAAGTTGGGCGTTCTGTGTCCAGAACCAGAGGCAGAGATCAAATATACATTTTTAGCTGTGTCATAGTGTTCTACACTTGACATAGTAGTGGCGTGCATAGCTGTGATATTTAGTGGTAACCTTTTAAAAAAGAAACTTTGTAAAAAGAAAGAGAACAGAAAGTGCGGGTATCCATCTATTTATGGTAGAGTCTGCACAAGCAGAATCATAGGGAAAGAGGTAAAATTTGAGTTGCACAGTTTCACATTTTCACTTGATGCCAAGTGAAAAATTGGGAAAACAATAAAACAAAATTGACTCCTTATCATAGAGGGAGGTCACAAGGACGGAATGAGATTGTTCAACCTCTAGTGGTGAGGCAGATGTGGCTGCAGTTGTAACAGATGAAGGACAGTTTCCTTTGTGTTAATTTAATTCAATCTCCAGTGAAGTGTGTCTTCTAGGACCTTGGGATTTCCCCACATTTGGAGGAGTAAGTTTTTTAGGTCTATTCACCTAAAAAGTACCTGGGAATCTCAGTCAGAAGGAGAATCCAAAGGAAGTTGAGTGGAATACATAGAAATTGAGTTTGTGAACTGACTGGTGGATGGAGTGGGAGAAAGTGGTACTGAGCAGGGAGCTAAGTCACTGCTCCTGGAGGCTGCAGCATGGGGTGGAAGTTAAGCCCATGATTGGGAGTTTGGTGCTAGCCTAGAACTTCCAGATGACTGGTGTGTAACCTTGAGTTGTGACTTTTCCTCTCTGGCTTTAGTTTCATCTTTTGCCTGCTGGAAGGCATTCTGTGACTCACGGGCTCACCTCAGAACAGACATCTATGATTAGGTGAAGTTGAGTTTTTCGTAAAGGTCTGGAAAAGAAATTCCAGGGGATTTTCTTGTTTCTAATTCTCATGCTGCTCTGCAGGTAGTTGTTGAGAGTGAAAAGAATCAGCTTAGGGCTAGGGATTTAGCTCAGCGGCATAAGCACCTGCCTTGCAAGCAGGCAGTCGCGAGTTCGATCCCCGGTACCGATAAAAACGAAAAAGACAAAAAAATAAAATAAAAAAAAAAAAAAAAAAAAGAATCAGCTTAATCTGATCAGAAATCTGACAACAAATGGGCCACCTCTGGTGGCATTTATCCTTAATGGGAGGGCAGAGTTTGGCTGTGAAACGGGTAACAACATCCCCTGCAGACACTTGGCAGCCAGCTCCTTGGTATGCAGACTGGTGCTGCTCACCCACGATGCTTAGAAAACACCATCACTTGCTTTTGCAGGTGGAAGGTGTGCGACCTCTGCCTGGGCCAGGGAGAAGATAGATGAGGCTTTTCAAAGGCTGTTTGTGTGAACTGTGGGCACTGGAGACAAAGCAAAGCCTGAGCTTTGTCTACCTGGGAACCAATCTGTGCAGAAAGAAAATGTAACAGTTATCTTCAAAGGAGACTTGATAAAACATAGACAGAGACAGCCACATATTTTTAAGGACCACAGCACTAAGGATGACAGAGGGAGGGATTTGCTGCAGGAAAGAGCTTGTCAGTTCCATAGATGTGAATGCATGCATTCTCTGCAGCTCCTCAGTTCATCAGAAGATTATGTAGACCAGAGCTGGAAAATGACCTTCTTGTCACCTGGCACACCTGCTTCCAGGAATGCCCTGCTTTCTCATTCAGGATCTTCCAGTGGATGGGAGGTTCCAGCCACACTCCAGAGTGGAGGAGGAATTTAGTTCAGTTTCATCCACACAACCATGTTTGATTCCCTCCAACCAGAGCAAACAGAGTATCTGCATGTGGGGGCAGGAATTAGCATTACTGTTGATGGCTCTGAAACCTGGTGTCCAACCTATTCCTATAGGAGGTGGTCATGGTTGTGGGTGACTCAGGAGCAGGTGGAGATGATGGAGGATACCCACCTTATTAGGGCTGACTGATGTGCTACCACAAAGTAAAAATGTCAGCTTGTGCTTAATTAGAAAAGCTAAGGGTAAAAGCCTTTATCAGTATGTCCACAGATGGAGCACGGGGTCCAGTGTCTTCCTCATGGGGAGGTTGACGAATCCCCTGAGAAGAGGAAGAGACTAAGAGGGCTCTACCAGGGACAAACATCTTAGGGGTTGTTGATGCTCCTCCTGCTGCCTTAGGAACCGCCAGTGGGGAGACAATGGAAGTCTGGTCAAGGTCTTCACCCTGAAGGTGACTGGTGGCTCAAGAACATTCCGTGTGTTCTCGGAAATAAAGAGATGACAAAAAGGAACAAGAAACATTTTTAAAATCACGCAGTCGGGCCTTGTCTCCATTGTTTATGAGATAAGGTGGAGTATTACAACCTGGGATTTTGGGTCACAAAATCCCAAGTGTGACCCAAGCTCTGTTTCAGCAGCCGGGGGTTCTCTCCTCTCCTCCTGGGAGGCTGGCCATTGCTATGTTCCAGGATATCCCTGAGGACCCACAGAGATGCTCTTGTCTTTCCTTTTGACTGGCTCCGTTTCCTTATCAGCGGAGGCGGTGGCATTCTGTTAGGGGATAATGAATATCTGGGGAGGACCTGTCCTGTGGGACACATGTGACATGGACAGTGTTTCAGTTAGCTTTGGCTGCTGCAACAAAATACCACAGATTGCATTTTAAACAACGTAAGTGTTAATCATATAGAAGGAGACTTGGAAGCCCAACGTCAAAGGGCTGGTAGATTCATTGTCTGGTGAGGTCCAAATTCCTGGCCCACGGACAGTGCCTTTTCACTTTGTCCTTGAATGATGGAGAGAGTGAGGGAACTCTCTGGGGTTCCTCTCATCCTCTAACCACTGCACAAAGGTCCCCTCTTCTGAAACCATCGCCATGAGGGAGGATTTCAGTGTGTGCCTTTGGGAAATGTGAGTATCCAGTCTATGAAACAG